AAACAACTATGTATAGTGTGCATTTTTACAACGGCAGTATATAATGAAGGTCGAGCTAATCTAAATTTCCTGCTACAAAATATGCACTCGATTTTTTTTTTTTTTTTTTTTTTTTTGGTGGCGTTCGTGTTGCTAGTCGTTAGTTGTGTGTTTGTATACTGTTGTTACTCTTAAGTTGTTTTTATTTTTTTGCCATTGCATTGTCAGTTCGTTTTCGACTTTCCCTGTGGTATTTTTATATTGTTTAGATGATTTTGCTATCAGATTATACACGCCTTTATATAAGGAATGGTTCATGTTAGCTCTATAGATCAGGTAACTCAATAAAAATACAACATTCGAAAGTTTAACAGACACCATCATGATTTTGTTTACCGTTACGGAATATCTGCGAACACAGAAATATTCTACTTGTCGTAGTCGAAATCCCGTTCTCTTTTCCTCAAGGGGCCTCAGTGGCCGATTAATCCAAGCTATAAAACTACAATGATCACTTGCCTTTTATTTCTGCTGTTGTGAGTTCGTGGCGAGGAGAGTTCGACTGGGATCATAATTGACAAGGATTGCAAGTTTTCATGCCGGAGGTCGGTTGTTCTTTCCAGGTACACCAGCTATCTCCACCAATACAACCTTGCCGCCAAGATCGAAAAAGCCTTTTATTCGATTTACTCATTTCGACGAATGCGACTTATCCCCGAGCATTTACTTGCAATGAGTAACACGACAGGTGCCCCTAATTGACCCGTAGCTGTTTACCTTTAAGAGCACCAAATTGTGTTCATCTTGGTTTTTGCCGGAGTTCGTGTTGCTTAATTTTGGGTTTTCATTGTACAGTCGTCTGTTGTTTTTTTTTCGACTTATGATTTTGGATTGTCCCTCTTGGCATTTCATCGGACGAAACCGGCTGGTCAGTTAAATTATATTTCGCAAACATATAGTGTGAGGAAATCATGCAGCACCTACATAACAGCAGGTTCAATACTTTGTGCTTACAGTTGGTAACTGCGAGAATTATTTGAAACGATGTTGATTTTATCGCATTGTTCAACATGATTGTTTTTATCGTTTATTGTACCGTTATCATAGATTCAAGTTAATAGGTACTCCTTTTAAAGGTTTCACCTGCATGTTCGTTTAATGTAACAGTGTCAATCATCACAAATGTAGAATTATTTTTTCATTTAAAATGTACCAACATACGAATTAACAAAGGTTTTGTTTAATATCTGATTCAAATATTCTAATTGCAATGTATTCATATTGTAATTGCAGTACATACATCTAAAAGAAACAATGCATACGAAGGAATGTCTTTGAAATATAATTACACAATTACGTTGTTATCTTGAAGTAAACTCAATCATGTCATTCGATTGCCCAAAATGTGTTGAATACTTTATACTTATTATACTAAAAAAGAACTGCGTAAACTGTTATCAGAAAATAACAATATCAGGTTAAAAAGATTCCCAAATAAAGTCAATAGACATGTACTTACGTGGAAGTATATTCATTACCCAATTTTTCGATATATTTTCTTTCAATTTTGCAGCGGAAAATTTAGAGTCATGATACGATGGCCGCAGAGTTTCTAGTGTCTAAATCAAAATACAATATTGAATTAAACATTAATGAAAGCCATTAATGAAATAAAAGAGCTTAAAATTGCGTAGACTACATGTACGCAAATAAAGAGTGTTAAATTTTAACTTAATGGGACAAATTCATTTGTTCTTGGATTCTATAATTTTTATGATACTTTAAGATTGAATCCGTTGAAATGTGTATAGATTGAACCCCTCGTACGAAGGAAAAGACTTGATGTTGAAACTTATGGTGCCACATGTTGAGGAGATTCCGTTTACCCTTCTCATGTACCTGTGACAAACCCCAAATTTCGGTGAGGTTTACTTTTCTCCGTCTGTAGTGCTTTGTAGATCGTTGTTTGTATCTTTGTTGCCATGGTGTTGTCGGTTTTTCGCGATTTATGACTCTTTATTGTGTTTTTGGTATCTTCCGCTTGTATTGACAATCAACAACTGCATGGAGGCAATGAAATGCAGGTTTTGATTGTTGAAGATTTTTATCTTAAATACATATGTACCGATATAAGTTCATTTATATTGATTTTTACAGTTTGTTTTATTTCTAGGCGTGAAGAGTAATTCCTCAAACAATTTTTATTGTACCACGGTTAAAATTCATGTTTGCATGTAAGCGGTTATCGTTGTCTTTATATTACAGTAGAGTTGTTTTGTTTATCGTAAAATTGAACTGATTTTGTTGAGGTTCCTAGTTCAGGGCATTTTTCACGGTGTATTGCATTGTGGTCTTTTCCAGTGCCGATATTACTCTTTTGTTTAAAGTCCTACAATGCACATTTTGTAGTATTCGCCGCTACAAAAGTATTGAGTTGGTTATTTCACTTACCTGAAACTCTAATTTGAACACTTTTCGGTTTTTTGGTAATGTCATACTTTCCTGATCATCCCTTACATATTTACAGAACGCACTCTTTGGAATTGTTGTTTTTGGTACTGTAAATAATTCTAGCAGTGCTTCAAATACTGTCGCATATTGTTCCTGCATAATACTAATTTGTTTTATTACATGTAATACATTCTTCTAACAGAAACGATCAACGCGTTGATTTAAAGTTATCTGTTCATTAAATCATCATTTACTAATACAAATCCTATAAAAGAGGGAAGAAAGATACCAGAGGGACAGTCAAACTCATAGATCGAAAACACACTGACAACGCCATGGCCAAAAATAAAAAGACAAACAAACAAATAATAGTACAGATGACACAACATAGAAAATGTGACAAACATAATATGATTATGGTTGTATCTGACATAGCTAACCTTAAGAAGATGGAAGGGAACAATTATTTTTTTCCACCGTATATTACATACAACCAATATCCATATTTATTTCAACGACCTACATTTTACTAATAAAATCATTAATTAATTATCAGTCTGATATAAAAGATTGATTTTTGGGCTCCAGACCTCCCTCTTACAATTAAAACTATGTATTTCCAAACTATTGTTAATGTGTTACTGTGAATGTAGTGTAGACCTGTACATGTTTATTTCAATTGCATAGGAAAAACATTTTTCTTTCGTAACTATAAAGAACAAATGGACTTTATTGGACAAAGCAAAATATTATTTTTCTTTTGTCAGAATTTCCGCGTGCGCTTGTTTCTGAAACTATCGTTTCCATTACGTTTGTGACCAACAGATTGGAAAGCCAAATGTGTAAGCATAAAAAATCTAAAGCATGAAATGCATGCTCAATGTCAGGTTTCTCTGATTTTATGAGTTTTTATTTTACTTTTAGTATAAATACAAAATTATGCATTGGCGATTTCAGAGCAAAATTAATATATATATATATATATAATTTAAATCATTTCAGTATCAAGGCATTTGCTACTTGTTGAATGGTTCACCCTGCGACTTATGATACATTATTTTAAAAATGTCCAAAGAAACTTTAAGGCGACTCCAAACTGATTCATAGTTCTTTGGATTTGCTTGCTCCAAAATTTTGGAAACATACACTTAATCACCGCGATTCTCTGAATACTACCAGAATCATCGCTCTTTTTACATAAAATCAAAAATTTTATTTTTAAGAAGTTATCGCTCGCCCTTAAATTCACCGAAAATTACAATTTTTGTAATGTAAATAAAAAATATTATCTCTCGATCCCGAAACATTTTTCGAATCCAAATCACGCCTTCTTCTCACCAAATTCGGATATTGATTATTAAAGTACTGTTAATTCTGCATCTCCTATTGCGAATCATTGACCACTTACAAAAAAACGAAATTATTGCGATTACAAACATCTTATAAGGAATTACACATCTGAAATTACTAATGTTAGTTTTTATTATTGCTGGCCCAACGGTACCCATTTTACTGCGACAGATGTGCATGCCGACAATTTTTGTCTATTTCGTGATATTCGAAGCCAAATTATTTGAAAATCCTAAACCTAATACGACCGTAGACTTGATTAAACAAAAAGGATAAAATATAGCAAAACCTGAACAGGGAATTAGAACTATACATGTGTGAGAAACAAAGCTTAATTTGAAATGATTTCCGAATTAAATAACAGCAAATATCGATAAAGCAATATGGTTCGCTCATGGCAGTACCAAATTAGTTTCAACATGTTTGTTAATACCCTAAGGAACTAACAGCTTGCTAGCAGAGCTATCGATCAAGTAGTAGTTGTTACATTAATGGTAACAATTGTACTCCACCAGAAGCACTTGTGAACACTTTTTGACCCTTTAGGTCGAGGCCAATATATCTAAAAAAAATCAAAAACTTAGTACGAACGTACTTCCAACTTTGTGTATGATATGTCGGATTAAATTGTATGTCTTGTTCGTGAATTTTTCCCCAATCTACAAATACATTCACGATTCTAGAATCAAATTGGTCAGTCAAGTGACATTTGACTCATATTTTTTCATTTGGTGTGTAGAAGCTACGGAGACAAAAGAAAATAGTTTTTTTCTATACTCTTCACGAAATTGTTACGGTTAATTCATGTAATTTGTAATATAGACACTCAAAGTATGTATCATTACTACTAACAAGGTTACCTACATGTGTTTGAATCATGTTCATTCTATCCTTCCTCATCATCTGAACGTACTCCATAATATTAACATACTTGGTCTTATTTCCATTCTCATATAATGCATCTATAGCAATAAATGTCCCTGTTCTTCCTACTCCAGCGCTAAAAAAATCCATTTATCGAAAGACATGATCAAATTGAAAGAACTGTCAGTGGACAAAAAGATGGCAGCCTGATTTTATCTTTCCTCTACAAAGTGATCCTACTCATTTACGAAAAGGATGCATAGGATATTTAAAAAGTTAATGCATTAAGTAGTTATCAATTAAGTATGGCATTATGTTATACGAAGAGCTGGATCATAAAAATTTCCCATTCATACCTGCAGTGTACAACCATTGGTCCATTTTGGTCACAATGTTCACTTTTCACGTTCCTGTAAAAATGGACCAATTTGATGCTGTCAGGAACACCGTGGTCTGGCCATTTTGTGAAATGAAATTGGTGAACTTTTCTTTCTTTTAGGTTCTAAAATAAAGACTGATTTCATGAAAATACAAAAATCTACCAAGGGAGAATATTCCCAAGAAATCTTAAAAAGAGAGACAGCACCATGATAAAGTGAAAAAATTAAAAGGCTAAACAGAAAAATGAAGATTTAACAACACGAACTACATAAAAATCGGGGTTAGGGGTTTAAGGAGGAGGGTAAACTTATGAAATTGCGATAAGAATATAAACAACAGCAAATTAATGATAAGTTACGGCAAATGCCTATACGTGTACTTTGTACACTTATTTTGTTCATAGTATTTTTGTCATCAATGATCAGGTCAATATATGATAAAACGAAATCAGTACCCTATCCAACGGTAAATGATAATGATAAACCTAAAATTTACAAAATAATAGTAAAAATTGCAAAATTGTGAAAAATTGTAATTTAAGGCCAATAACGCCGAAAAGGACTATTTCGTTAGTTTAGTCGAAATAACCAGTTGGTAGATATTCATATTGTGAACTCTTTTGAAGATTTTCTCTATGTATAACGGCTTTTAAAGATCTTCAGATAATACTTGCATTTACCCTTATGCTCTTATTTTAGCAATGACAGCCATGTTCGTTTACCATAGGATTCAACGGGCAAATTTTTAAACTGATATCTCCTAATGATGATTCCATCCAGGTTTGGTTAAAATTGGCCTAGTAGTTTCAGAAGAGAAGGCAAGCGATCACATGTGTTGTAAATGTGTGTATTGGTTATTTCCAAGTAAAGAAATATTGTTATTATTGTTTTAAGAGAGTTTATATGAGTTGTCAGAAGTTATTTCTAGTATTTCTAGTATATTGAATGAGTAATTAACGTACGTTTTACTTTATGTTATTAGATGTATCGATAACGTCATATATGGCGCAAATTTGTCATGTATTATTCAGAACGTTACCGTTGGGTAAATATTGTAATCTTGAACCCAAAAGTGTTCATTTGTGAGCTCTCAACTGGAAGAAATAATATGTCTTGATTGTTTTAGTACTAAAGTGTATTATTATAAGCATTTTGAGTCGAGGACTTGTATATTTTATGTCAGCGTTTGACGTTATGTTTTTCTTCCTGCTTAGAATATTTACTTCCGGGAATTTCAAATAAATACCAGTGCAACGTCACGTTCGTCAGTCTTTGCTGTGTTTACATTTGGCTTGCAGCAAGGCTCAGCCCGGGGGTTCCTAGAGGTGAGAAGCAGCGCATTTAGCTGTATGCCTCGCAGTTTATATTACAAGTAAGGGTCGTAGTTTAGAGGTAAGAAGCAGCGCAGATAGCTGCATGCCTTGCATTTATTTACGTTGTCATTGTAGAATTTATTAAGATAATCCCGTTTGGTCCGTACAAAAATACAAGAGAAAGAATGTTATTTTAGTAGCTCCGCCTCGTATGTAAATTATATAATTGTTGCTCGAATATTGTACATGTATGGAAATATATCGGCTGTTCTAGAAGTTTAATAAAAGTATCATTTTCTACTATTGATTATATATTCACACTACCAATGATGAGAGAGAACAGACAACAGATTTGACGGCCGTATTTATTTATCCCTTAGTTTAGTCACAAGTTTTGTGAGTTTATTCGTATTTGCTGGCTTTAAAACTATAGACAAAACATAGCAAGAAGCAGTATATTCAATACTCAGTTGTCTTCATTTGTTCATGTCATAGAGGATTGAAACAAAAACAGAACTGAACGCTTAATTTAACATTAAATTGGGGTTTATGAGTCGTTTGTTAATAAGCAAGGTATCATCTTTGAAATAATATGCTTGGTGTATATATATTAAGTTAACTCTAACCTTTCAGTATGATTAGTTTATAAAAATATTCTTAGAAAAACCTATTATACAATGGGTTAATTTAATCTTCGTTCTATGTTTGTTCACCCTTTCTTCTACGGTGGTTTTCCCCTTCGCACTTGCGCTGTGCAACAGTCGAAATTTTATCGAGGATTCATAGTTAAAATCCCTGCTTACGGAAAAGCTGTCGGCAAATTAGAATATTGGAAGAAAATAATTCAATAGCAGTACATTTATGAAGATTAAGGTAAAAGAAAAGATTTTAATTTAAAAGAAAGTAAACGTAAACGTGTTTTATATCAAAATTAAGCCATTTTTAAAAGTATATAAAACATTTTCCTCTTTTTATAAGATTTGAAGGACAATATGACTAACATTATTCATTACCGTATCATTATGATTGAATATCGTTATAAGTCTGTAAACATAAAGTGTATGTTCTTTTTCTTTTGTCAATGTCAGTCGAAAATTTTCCTCTACCATTTGTTCATTGACTGCATCAGGCCAATATTGTACACATTTGTTCTAAAGAAAATTGATAAACATTGAATATACATAACATTTTATAACGGTCCTAAACAAATGAATTTAGACATCAACAGACATGTTTCATTTCCAATTAAAACATGCAAAGTTACATTTTTCTTTCTTTTATTCATATCTGTGTTGAAAGCATTAGACGATGTTGATTAAGTAGTATCAGAAGACTATTGAATTAATAAAAAAAAAGGCTTCATAACTATAATCATCATTATTGTTTTGTTATATATTCAGAAATAAATTTGATGTTTCTCTGTATGTTTAGTAAAAATATATCAATAAGCTTGTGCTAGGTATTTTGTGCATATATAATGACATGTTTTTTTTAAATTCGAACAGTCATGAGTCATCTTTGTAGTGTTCCGCAGATAACGATAATGAGTTGGTGTTTGAAAACGTCCAGAGTCAAATATAACATGCTTATTGGGACAAGTACATGTTAATAAAATATCTGCTTTGAACTAGACCAAATACTAAGTCCGATATTTGTACTAGACCGAAACACTAAGACAGATATTTGACTACTAATTCACAAAGTATTAGGCCGCAAAAATATGTCATCCTACCTGGACACATTACTCCAACGCCAACTAGTCATTATTCTAATTTCTAAACACATGAGCAACAGACAAGTAGTAAAAATCAATTTTAAAGTCTTGTCTGATGCAACCGGGAATCGAAGCTGCACTTTCCTGCACTCGAGTCTAGAACGCGACTATGAAAATACTGATGCATTATGTTTTGTAGAGAATGTTATGATAAAACAGCTTTTTAAATCACAACATATACCACAATCATGTGTCATATTATATAACCTTTAAGCCGCGTTTTCGATCCGGATGTTATGAAAATACTTGATAACATTTAAATTATATAATTCTATTTAATTGATTGGATATAATCAATGTGATAATGCAATTTGATACCCTTCTTCCCTCTTTCAGCTGTGTAACCATAACAATTTTACCAACATCTTCCTGCCATATCATATGCCAGAAATCTCTGACGGTATTTTTCTTGGGACCTTTAAATTAAATAACGAATTAGAGTTCTAATATTAAAGGCAAGCATGGAAAGTTATGTTGACAATCTACCATGGCATAACCATCATAAATATTGGTTTTAAAATTTCAAACCTTAATTAGTTTGTAATTCTTTTTCATGATGATCAGATTAATTTTAAAACAAACAACAGTGTTACATGGAGAGAACTTAACAAATATATTTTGCCTCCACCTCCCCTTGATCAATACGCACATGACCGGTACCATTGGCGGGACAGGAACTCCTAACCCTTTTGGAGCACATGAAATCTTGGTACAATATTCTGTGCCCTCGAAAGTGTTTTTTTTTCTATTCCTTGTACATATCATATCTATTTTATTTTAAGTTTCACCTTATAGGAAATGAAATAATTTTAACTATTTTAAGAATTAGAAATATACTTGGAATGTTTGTTTTCACACGTAAATACATTTCAACAGTATATATATGATGATTGAGATAACACACCATCGAAACACACAAAAGTCACCAAAACATCTAAAGATCAGCATCCTTGATGAACGTTATATTAGTTCCAAACTATAAAATGTGCATTAATATAAATCTCTAAAAATATCAGGCACACTCATTACAAAAATAAGACCTTAAGGTGTAATTATAACCGTTAATAATGTCTATGTAGCAAAACCCAAAAATGCTAAGATAATTCCTAGACATCTTTCTGTTCTAAAATAATATTATCATTATCAAGTTTTTAAAGACTTTTATAAATTTTTAACTAAACCTTTACAAACCTTGGGTTGCTATGTAGGTCTTTTCTTTGTCATAGTTCTGAAATACACATGGTTATAAGTATTAACATTTTTTGTGTTTATTCAAAGTTAAATATTCAATGGTAAAAAGGAAAAAATAACAAAAATACCGAACTGAAGATAAATTACGAAATAATTGGATGACAATATTGCCCAACTTAAAGCTCAAACAAACGTTGGACCAAAATTCAAGAAGAAGAAGAAAATAAAAGTCAATAAATTCGAAACATTAGCACGTGACAAAATTGCATTTTTAAAAAGGTAATTTTCTTTTCTTAATTGATTTTAAAAGATACCTATTATACTTGCTATTGAAATATTTGTATATGTTAGTTAGAGGTATATGCCTATTTATATACATTGTAGAAAAAAAATATTATAATTTCAAAACCTACATCGATGTAACTAGCATTAATATAATCCGACTTTTTGTTTCCCTTCAGTACAACACGTGAATGATCATCTACAAAAAAATAAATAAAAATTAACAGATCTTGCATTATCAAGATAAATATATAACATGCTACAGTAAGTTAAATAAAACAGGGAATGCAAACTGATTTGTTTGTATTGATTTCATTTGTGTCACTCTAGATAAAATAATTTGTTATCGTCTTCAAAACATACACAGTGTGTGAGTTTTTCTTATTTCAGTAAGGTGATAATAACAGTGAATTCATGATGCATTTGTGAATTTCGACCGACTTTAAAGATTGGATAATCTCAAAATAATATGACAACACAAATAAAAAACAAGAATGTGTCCATAGTACACGGATGCCCCACTCGCACAATCTTTTTCTGTGTTCAGTGGACCGCGAAATTTGGGTAAAAACTCTAACTTGGCATTAAAATTAGAAAGATCATATCATAGGGAACATGTGTACTAAGTTTCAAGTTGATTAGACTTCAACTTCATCAAAAACTACCTTGACCAAAAACTTTAACCTGAAGCGGGACAGACGGACGGACGGACGGACGAACAGACGGACGGACGGACGAACAAACGGACGCAAAGACCAGAAAACATAATGCCCTTACTACTATCGTAGGTGGGACATAATTACACACCAGAGATTTGACAAACGTATGTATACAAATTGTATTTAATAATTTTAGCTGATTAAAGATAAATTGTTTGAGTATTTTATTTATTTTAATTGCAAATTTGTCATTGAGTTTTTTCTACATACAAGGCCATAAGTCGCGGAAACGATTTTTGTCTTTATTTACTTCTTTGGAACCTTCAACGTGTGCATGGATAAGCCCTTTAGGTAAAATCTGAAAGAAAAAAAAAATACCGTGTTAATATTTTAGAAATTCAATTAAAAATTGTTAATGAAAAAAGAAGGTTTATAAATTACTACTTGAAATTTTTTTTCACAAATAAATTGACCAGTTATTTAGATGCATTCAATCACAAGCCGTAGAATTAGAAAAATCAATACAAAGCACAGAAAAAAACAACAAATTAAAGTAATTACAGTATCAAAATTATTACTATGAAAACGTTAGTTTGATCAACAAGATAAAATTTAGAATGGAAACGGGGAATGTGTCAAAGAGACATCAACCCGACCAACGAGCAAACAACACACCAAGGCTGCCAAATGGTCTTCAACACAGCGAGAAAATCCCGCACCCGAAGAACCCACCAAAAGTATGGTGTTAGCTCATGTGCTCTGTAAGGGTCAACAATCCCTGATTTGCCAGTGATACAAGCCGTACATGTATTACTGCTGTCAAAATTGGGGATTAGGGTTTGCACCGATTTGGAAAATGTGGAGTATCTTACATTTAAGAGTAGACTTGAACCTCAACCAATTTTATTTGCTAATTAAAATTAAGCTGAATAAAATTATTTAAGACAGCAGATGAGATAATTCAGTAATAATGTTTTTTTACTCAGACTCAAAGGCTAGTTATACTGTAAATTTATGATGTCTCTGTACTGGTCAATGGGTCAAATTTGCCATACTTGATTAAACGATTAATTGTTGAAATTAGATAACATGTTTTCACGTGTAGGAAAATTTCACTAATGACCAGTGCATGATTGGATTACATCTTTCTTATTGGTCAAAGATCTTGCGGGGTCAGCACGAGTTCACGTGTAAGTGCGTTGTGGTCACTTCCTTTTATCATTAGCTTTTGGCGTGTTAACTTGTAATTCTTATCAAACAAGTTGTGAAAAATTTAAATTTTATGGATAATTTTGGACTGGAGTGGTTTCCTTTTTGCAATTTGAGGTAAAATCGAACTATACTTTCATGTTTTTGCTATATTATGCTTACATTCTGGACAAACGTACAGTTACTTTTTGACCATTCTTTCATACACGATTTAGTTTTATGCAATACACGTAGCAGTTAGTCATTATACATCAGTCCTATGATTAAACCTTTCATATTTTCATTGCAAGGTCTGGTTTGCAAAGAAAAATCGCAGTTTCTAAATTTCCAAAGAAACTCCTGATTAAATGATTGGTTGACATTTAAAGATACCAATTTTAATTTACTAGATGCATTTGTCGTTAGAAAAGTCGTTCTAATTACGACGATTCTCATATGCAGCGTTCTTGTCATATCTACGCTACCAATTTATAACCAAATTTCCCTTATTCTTAGTCGATTTATCTTTTTCCTGACTTGTTGATTATTTTCATTCAATCAACGCGTAGAGTGGTTCATTTGCTCTCATTACGTTATAAGTCAGTTGTCAATTATGACGTCAAATGCTCTTTCTTTCCTCTGAATTTTCTATTGCCATGTCACGAAAAAAGGCGATCATGCTTGTTGACGTTACATAGAAAAAAAAACATATTTTTGCTGATCATTGGAAAATAAGTCATATCGTCTAAAAATCATTAGAGAAACAGATTCTACCACTGCATCTCGTGTAATACGAGATTTCTCTACTATATATAATATATATATCGACAGTTAAATTTTTAATATCTAAAACTTTCGGCGAGTCTCTAGTTTTTAATTTGATAGTTTAATTATCTCGAGTAGAAAAATATCGTATCACACTCGATCCAGTCATAGAACAATAGTTTTATAATAATTTCCTTCAAAATATATATAGTCTACCACATAACCCGTTTAGTTTAATATTACTAAGATACAATTTGAGTTATTATGTGTTGTTATTGTCATCTTTTTTTTATTATATTACTATATCTTTAGTAAAAACAAAATCGCGCATTTACCATTATTATCATATGAGAAAAACGGATACCTCAGCTCATTTGGTTTGGATGAATTATTAACTACACGCGTCGGTATACTGCAATGTAAATGATTAACGAATGACCTGTTATTAAATAAACACATCATTGATAACCCACCAGGTGCTTGACATTGAAAAGACATTTTAGAAATTCCAAAGTTGAAGTTAAATCCAAAAAATATAATTATTTGCAGCAACTATATGTACATGTAGCTGCTAAAACCAGTGACAATATGAGAAATATAATATTGCATGTATAACCTCGTATTCTTTTCTGAAGCCTTCATCTTTCAATTTTTCATTGATAGCCTCCTTCAAATTTTCAATGTGTATCTTATTGACAGAATGTTCAATTGGTAACCTTTTGTTTTCAAAATCATCTCTTTCAGGTAGTAGTTCAGTTTCCTCTGTGGTGTCTTCAAGGTGAACAGTTACCTCCCCTGAATCCGATGTAATGGCTGCATTTACATATTCATGTACATTATTGGTTTCTCTGTTCCTATCTATAAATAACATTCTATCAGGTTCATTGCTCTTATTTAGAATATGTATCAGTAGGTAACCATATTTTCCCTCTTACAATTATTGTTGTCTATTTTCATTTAAAAAAAAAACGAAGATGGGATTTGCTCAAGAAATAAAAGAAAAATGTTCGTTTGTATGGACAAAGTTTCATTTACAGTTAAACAAGAAGTGCAAATTATACCGCCATTCATTTTGAGATATTTAGGAAAAGTCAATGCCGTTGAAAGTATGAAAAGTAAGATAACATCAAAAAGGAATTGATTGTCTGGCTGATTCACAAATTGCATACACGGTACAAAATATTATATATAAAATAATTCCTTAAAAAACAACCTGAGCAATTCGTTACAACAATTATCCATGCCTAGTTGGTAACAAAAATTCAAGTTATCAACAAATAGGAAATGACTGTCAGGCAGAACTGAAAATCGGTTACAATGTAAAAATTAAATTGCAGACCAAATCCTTAATGTTCCTTAATTCAGAACAATATGTTAAGAAAATTATGAATGGAAGAATAGATAAAATGATTGAATGAACTGTATACCACCCACTCCTTAGGTGGGTGTATATTACATTACAGGTATCTCTATAGAGTATAAATTGTGTACAAAAGCTAAATAATATAGAAATAAATATCTGATATTGTGACTTAAACTTACTAAAGGTAGTTTTTCGACTTGATTTTGACTGGTCTGAACATTTATCTTTTGCTAATGTTTTGTTGCCTCTACAAATACAAAATAACATATTACAACATGTTCACTTACAACTGTTTGTTTTGTTCATTAAAAGTTTGATATTGTGGTAATTCTGAATATAATCAAGTGTTGTCTTCAACTTTAAACGTTATTTTATGTTTTATTAATTGTCAAGCGTTTGAAATTAATTTCTTTGCGAGTACTTCATAAGTCAATCATACTTATGAATCTTAGAATGTTTTATAGTATTCAAATGTTAGGTCATTCTGATAAGTGATGTTGAAAGAGTACTCACGATATACAATATAACTCCCCAATATGCATTTGGTATCATGGTGTACATGGTGTATATATATAACCATCTATTCAATTTTTAATTGGGCGTAATTAAAACTCCAAAGGGTTTAAATGATAAGAAAAGTCTATCAAAGAAGAAAATAACCCATTCGTTTAATTGACCTGAAATTCCACCAAAATATTAATGCGACTGCACCTGATGCGCATTTCGAAATATAGCGTCTCGCTAGTGATGCCAGATATCAAAACAGCTGTAAGTCTTGAAAATAATACAAACCGTTAAATGATGTCTTAAAAATGGTTTTATAATTGCAATTTCATAAAATCAATATCCGTATCTTTATGGCATTACCAAAGTACTGTATTAGGCTGATGCATTCTCCAACGAGAACAATGTAAGAAGATGTCTATTACATTACGCTATCATAATATAATTTATGTATAAATGCTTTGCTAATTGCATTGACTTTTCCATTTTAATGATCTATATCAAACAAATGGTCGGGTTTCTTTGACAAGAAAAAAGTATACAATGTAATTTAAGATAGTACTCTCTATGAATAATGAGCTTACTTGTAAATGACAAATCCTGCGAACATTATCAAAACAACTGCAATCACAGTACCAATGCCTCCACCTATTGCTCTCCCGTAAAATTCTCCCTGCAATTCAGATCTTACTGAAACAAAACCAAAAAAAAAAATATTCAACAAATATGATTTGTGATGATAGTAGGTTATCATATATGTATGTCATAAATAAATTCTGATACTGAAAAGTAAATAAATTTTGTAAATTGTTGAAATGCGCACCAGTAAAATTGATACCGTTACAGTCATTTTCAACCCAAAACTTCCGTTACTATAAAAAAAAAAAAGAAAGGTCCGTTGAATGGTATAGCTACCGCGTGAAATAGCGGTTAAAATCATATAACTGCAATTGTATTTTTTAATTTTATTTATCTTTTCTATCAAAAATTTAAGTAGGACTCTACATTTAGAATGACATGTTTAAAATATCATTTCACCTTTTCTTATCCATGAAACTTTGCTTTCATTTGAACGCTGATTGCTCTATTGAAAACAAGTTTAATGGGAAATATACAGTCATAATACAACTACTTATATTTTTTTTAATTATATGTAAATTGTGCTTTAAACAATACAACAGGAAATCAAAAGAAAATTTGGGCTTTTTTGTAATTGAGTATTATAACAAGCTATTGAAATCATTTGAATTATACGCCAAAATATAAAGGATATACATGGATATAATCAAACTTATAAAAAATTGGCAAGACTATTTTCATGATCTGCGTTTTTCTATTTATTCGATACAATAATGAAGTTCCCACACCCGTTCATTCTGCAAAGAAAAGCCTAATCTTAAAGGTCTCTTATCATTTCACTGTTAACTTTTCTACAATTAAAGTACATGTATCAAGTGATGCGCATCATCAATTCAAATCCTACTCTTTCAACATCTACTTGTGAGAAATCACTTTAAATGACTGCTAGCTTTACACATGTTACAGTAGTAAAATATCCTAAATAGAAAGCGGTAATATGTGTAATTTTCTCTGTTATCTCTTTGATATCTCTCTATAAAAGGTAAATGTGTTTGATGTGGTGTTACTGATTTGTCTATTTATCGTTCAATTCATTATACAAACATATACATAAAGCTATCAACCTTGTGTACAATTGAATCCCGTCCATCCGCTATTGCATCCATCAATGCATTCTCCATTCGTATGATCACAAGATTGCTTTACACAGTTTATTGAACAATTTTGATGACATCCACTTCCATAAAAGCCAGAACTACACGCTGAAAATTAAAGTATCATGTGTTTGACCGATTGTCACGAAAATAAGTGTATTTCAATGAAAATAATTTAAACATACTGTATTTTCTTGTTGTTTTTTTTTTATGTATATATATATATACATGGCTTCACTGGTGATCCAATGGATGGATCTGGTAGAGTTGTCACTTGTTTAGACGTACTTATATATATACATAAAAAAAAACAACAAGAAAACACAGTATTTTCAAATTATTTTCATTGAAATACACTTATTTTCTGTGACTGTATCTTACGATCCTTTACGATAGATATTTAGCTAATCTGCAATCAATTCCATCTTCATGCCTAATATATCATTTAATGTGTTACAACTCAAGAATCTACTGACGAGGAAAGGTAACACTAGGCCACCGAAAGCTGAATTATTAGTTCAGTCTAGATGGCCGAGTGGTCTTGAGCGCTGGACACAGTGCAGGTGGTGTTGTCTCGATATCCCAATAGACGTGTTAGGAAAATCTATACGATTTTGACGCTGATGTTAAATACCACTACAGGCTATAGTGGGGACCATCTCAAAAAGCACAGATAATCATTCATTTTAGTTACCTGTATGGGTTTGTTTGATAATACTGAGATGATTTTTAAACAATAAAATAGTAACAATTTATTCCGCAATACACCGAGAGGAATCCAGCAAAACAACACGAACACTATTCTTGCATTGTGTCATAGTAGGGATCGATTAAGTTTAAGATCGTTGTTCCCCCATTTCTTGCTATTTTGTTGAACAACTACAAGGAAAATCTACAAAGTGATCAAAATAAATGAATAGAAAAAAACACAGGAATTAAATCACATTCAATTCCGATTTTTTACTCTACATCAATCTTTGTTCAAAACGTTCGTTTATTTGAAATTTATTTAAAAAATAATTGTCATGTCGGGGCCTTTCTTAGCTTTTATATGCGGGAATGGTTTTGCTCCATGTTGGGGGTCTGTCATACGGTAATCTATAGTTGCAAACATTTACGTCATTTGGTCTCTGGTAGATAGTTGTCTATTTTGGCAATCATACCGTATCTCATTATTCTATATCATTTTGTAGAATAGAGAAATGTGTTACACAGTAGCGTAAAATTCTAAAAAAATCCAAACTAGAAATTTGTGTACTTGACAATTAAAAAAAAAAGACTGAAACAAAAGCGCTTTCAATTTCATTATCTTTATATTTTTATTTTATCTAGAAAGGTCAATGGCAATTTTATATAATGTTAAATGAATTAATTCTTATTCACATACAAAATTTTGCCCTGACATTTTCCTTCTATCAAGCATTTTAAATTTACGTTTCGGTGAAGGGTCGGAAGTTGTTTTTTTAATCTTGTTAACACGGATTCCTCCACCAACAAAACAGAACACCACGATTAAATTGAGATATTGTTGAAAGTGGCGTTAAACTTTCGTATTGAGAAGTTAATGTTAGTATCTTTGGGTCAGGAGGTTATTTTGAAAATGGAATATTCATTTTCACCTCTTTCAAAACAATGTCTGCTAAATTATGTGTCGGGCATTTTTTTTTTTTTTTTTTTCGATTTGCTTCATTTTGTTTTGCCTTAGATTCACTATACACTCCGCTTTCTAAATTGGACGGTATATAGTGATGGGTGAATTGGCCTATCCGTCCGTTCTTTCGTCCCTCTGTCCATTCATTGCATTCATACCCAGAAAGTAGTAGACAATACGAATCACATATAGCTCATGAAAAGTGGTTTTCTTGAACATTAAAACGATCCACAGCAAGACAACCTTCTTCTGTAGCCCCCTGCTTCTTAAAAGTTTTATATAAAAATAGCACTGTATCCACTTGTGTTCAATTTTTATTTTCTTTTTTATATATAGATATAACGATGTGTTCAGATTAGTACTGATTTGTTTAAGCCACACATATATACGCGTCCCTGTATCCCTGGATACAAAATGCATGCTAACTATATTTTGCAACGAAAATAGGACATATCTATTGTGAAGAGACAAACTGAGTTATTTAACTATTAAACATATTCTAATCATATCGCTTAATATATATATTTGGACTTGTGGCCGTAAAATCCGTCATTCCCATTCTTGACTCTTACATATATTTTTGTTAAGTTTTGTTTTGCACTCTTAAATCAAACAAATACAAATTAATGTATGAATTTATGAAGATCTACGTAAGGACAATGCACGTCTTAAAATTTAGAGTCGACGTTAACTGTTAGCTATAGTGTATCAAACACACCACAAATGTAAAATATTATACTACGCCGGGATACTTTTCAGTGCAATTGCATTTTGAGAAAGTCCACACTTAAATCTTGTATCGGTATTGGTATTTAACAGGTTTACTCCTGGTTTGCCCACTTTTAATTATACCAATTATCTATTAGTAAAGAAAACAAAAAAGACAAAAGGTTTAATGAGCATACAATTGTATAGTCTGTTCCAACTTAGGTATATAGGATCATATAGTTTATTAGCGTTTTCTATATATTCAGGTATTTTTTATTTTGTAATTCCATTTTCATTTGAATAGGAAAAAAATGAATAAATCAAAAAAAAATTTCTCTCAATAATTTAATATCAATTCATTCGATTCACATACATATTGAACAACTAATGACAAAACAATGACCTTCAGTTATAAAAGTGTCATTATGATAATAATTCATTAGTTTCTGAATGATTTTCATGATATAAATACACCAACACAAGTTGGCTTTTATTGCAAACATAATTTATATAATATATGAATCAAATGTATAAATGCATTGCATAATGAAATAAATAAAGCACTAATGTAAAATAAATAATATGGGGCACTATATGTATAATGATGGCAAATACAATCTTTTTGTCGAGCCTGCGACTTTTGTTGCAAAAGCAAGACATAGCGATCCTACATGCCGTTGTTGGCGGCGGCGGCAGCGTCCACAAATATTCACTCTGTTGTTAAATTTTTGAAATTTTAATAACTTTCATAAACTATCCTGGATTTCTACCAAACCTAGACAGAACCTTCTTTATGATCATAAGATAGTATCCAGAAGGTAATTGTGTAAACAAAAATCCTGTGTATTCGTATTTTACTTATAAATGGACTTAGTTTTTCTGCGAATTAACATTGCATTCACTCTTTGGTTAAAGTTTTTAAAATTTTAATAACTTTCTTGAACTATCCTGGATTTCTATCAAACATGGACAGAAGCTTGTTTATGATCAAAGATAGTATCCAGAAGGTAATTTTGTAAAAAATTCGTATTTTACTTATAAATGGACTTGGTTTTTCTGCCAATTAACATTAAATTCACTCTTTGGTTAAAGTTTTTAAAATTTTGATAACTTTCTTAAACGATCCTGGATTTGTGCCAAACTTGGACAGAAGCTTGTAAATGACCAATAGCTAGTAGCTATCAAACGTAAAGCTTGGCTACTGAACAGTTGCTTTTTAATATATTCTATTTGTTAGAATTAATTGGATATTTTTTTATATTAAATTTCTAAGTTTGAAAAATTTGAAATACTTACGCTTTTCTACCTCAGGACTAGATAACCTTAGCTGTATTTGGCAAAACTTTTGAGGAATTTTTTGTCCTCAATGCTCTTCAACTTCGAACTTTATTTGGCCTTTCTAACTTTTATTGATTCGAGCGTCACTAATGAGTCTTTTGTAGACGAAACGCGCGTCTGGCGCAAATACAAAATTTCAATCCTGGTATCTATGATCATGATGATGAGTTTATTCAGAAAAATATATTTATTAAAATTTAAAAAAAAAATATGTTGAATAAATAAAAAGAAATTTAAATGACATTTATTCTAATCTATTATCATTATTTTTCTTAACTTTTTTTCAGAATGTACCAACAATTAAAACTATTTGTTGAGAAATTGTAAAAAAAATAAACATATTTAAACATATATTTGTTTATTTTTTATTTTTATATTTGTCAAATTCAATACATTTTCCTGCTAAAAAAACTAGATCAAATATAATATATTTTGGCACATTTTCCTTGATTTAATAGCAGAATATAGTATCTTTTATAAAATTTTACAGGTAAAATAAAGGTAAGAAAATGACTATAATTCAGAAATAAACTATAATTGTTAAAACAACAATTCCCCCTATGTTTACATATGTATGTAATTAAAAGTGGGCAAACCAGGATGACACCATTTAACACTAGCGCAGTATTTAAACCCCTTTCCTAACACGTCTAATAGCATGAGTTCGAATTCCGGCGAGGGAAGAACAAACATTTGCTTCCGCAAATTTGCAGATTTAACATTGTTGTGCTGTTATACATGTATGTATATATATATATATATTAACGGTAGCTACTTCTGTAACCGTTCGTTAAATGATCTAGGGTAAAAGATGAATGTCAGTTGATTATGAATATGACAACCACTCGGGAAAAAGACGTGTCATGAAGTTGAAAGTCAATGAAAAGATTTCTCAGATATGGATATCTGTATCGTTGGTTATTGTGTTCGAAATATAAGTGAAGTTATAATTCGAATGTTGTCCTCCATTCTGTATTATTGGTTGGAATCATTTTAAGTACCCAAACTATTTCCACGATGTAAACTCTTGAAATGTAAAATAAATACAAAATATAAAAATTTTACAATAGATAGAAATATATGTATATTTTATTTCTATACCCTGATCACATTTTTCACCAATCCATCCATTTGCACAGCCAAATAAGCATCGTCCTGTATCAAGGTCACACGGTCCAAGACATTTTGCTGGACATGTTCTTTTACAAAGTGGACCATACTGTGTAGACGGACATCCTTTAAAAAAAATCAGATATAAAATGGTATCGTATGACATCATTCATTTGATTATCTCGATGAGAAGTTGTAGAAGGTGGTTCTTTATTCATAGTCCGCAATAAATGTTGCTCGATATAACACATCTTGTTTTTTTTTAATAATGACAAATACAAGAAAAAGAAACTATAAAATGTAAATGAATTAAATGAGTTAATAAGGACGTTATATAGAAATCTTCTCAGGACAATATTATACAATTATTGCATTTGTATGAGGTAAATACATCAGCCTAAAGTAAAGATTTCAGATGAGTCCGTTAAAGCCTACTTCAGAGATCGAAAAACAAATGAAAGTTGATTAGTTTTTTTTACAGTACTGTAAGTTATTGTTAAAATTTTTTATATTGACTCTCTAAATAGGTCTTTGCATCTGAAATAAACACATTTAATATGAAACCAGTTGTTGGCATGATACTGGTTGTGTTTTTCTCGTATATTTTATGACAGTAGGATACTAAACCCCTTACGGGAGGGATTGTGCTTGGTGTTCATATGATGAAGAAATAATGTTTCAATCAGTTTAATTGAGGTCTGGAGCTGGCATGTCAGTAACTGCTTGTAGTCCTTTGTTAATTTATGTTGATCATTGTCATTTTACTTAGTTTCTTCTGTTACATGTACCTATTCTAACATCGGACTCGGACTTCTTTTAAAGTGACTTTTACTGTGCGTATTGCTGTGTGTTTGTTTATTCTACATTGGCTAGAGGTATGGGGGAAGGTTGAGATCTCACAAACCTGTTTAACCCCGCCGTATTATTGCGCCTGTCCAAAGTCAGGAACCTCTGGCCTTTGTTAATATTGTATGTTGTTTTTTTTTTTTTTTGGTTCATTTATATGTTCCTGGGTTAAGTATGACGTCCACTTTGGCAGAACTAGTACACATCTTTGTTTAGGCGCCAGCTGAAGTCCGCCTCCAGGATTTTCTCGCTGTGTTGAAGACCCATTGGAGGCCTTGGGCTGTTTTCTGTTATATGGTTGGGTTGTTGTCTCTTTGACACATTCCCCGTTTTCATTCTCAATTTTAATTAAGAATAACTCGGATGGCGGACAGACGGACATCGACAAAGTAATACGTCTGTCCCCATCGGGCGAAGTCGATTACCTAGTGTATACTACTTAGAAATACAAAACTTATGTATATATCAATGATTATAATATTAACCTAAAAAGTGTATATATATTCAAGGCATCAGAGAAACTTTGAAATTCACATGATGGTTTAAACAAATTAGAAATAGAATTTTTTATTTGTCTTTAACTTATTTGTCTTATTTGAATGTTTTAGTAACGTAATTACGACTTCAACCTTATTAATTAACATTTCAGCTTTATATACTTTGTTTCGATTCAAATACTCACCAACGATCCCAATTTCACAAATTTCAAGTTCTATTAATGCACTCTTAATAGCTGGAACATATGTCAAGTATCGGAAAACGGTATAGGTCCTGATTTTCTGTGGTAAATATTTCCCATGATATAAAACAGTTCCCTTTTCCGGCTCAGCACTAGAATTTGAAGCGTATATTTTATGTACAAGTCCGTTTACTGTAGTGTTCACTGAAAACATGATATATAATTTGAATATGGAAAAGAGAGATATTGACAAGTAGCGTTTGTAAATGCGACATCGCGTGTCCGTGACTGAATTAAAGCATTTATGTCTTATTTTTAGCCTGGATTTTTAGTAATCGTATTATAATCTGATAAAGTCATGCTGATTGTAAGGTGCACAATTTTCTCTGTTTCAAAATCTTTCTGTTTGAACCCGTCCTGGTTTTCTTACTACAATAAACTTACTATTAACTAAATTTAAAATGTTAATTAACCAAATTAATTGTGGTATTGAGGTGGAAGAAAGCAGACGTGTTAAATATTATATAGTGTAACATAGATTTAAAACAACTACGTGTACTGGAAGATTTCTAGTACCTCCTGATAGAGGAGGGATTTACAGAAGGTAACAGATAACTACAACCGGAAACTACATGTGACATATACTATTGGTATCGGTATCGGATTCGACCCGGAACTTGTTAATTGTATTGCTTATATTCATTATGTGGAAACCAAAAGGGCCTGGAATGGTGTAATTTTTAAACAACGCCATTGTCCTATATTTGTTATATATAAAGTTGAATTCTTTGATTCGTCGTTTTTACGTCATGCTGGCTAACAAATTGGAACTCGTTTTTTTAGTATTATAGATAGATGATTTAAAGTCACTTAAATTCTGTCACTAAATAAACACTAAATGTATATTAAATAATCTTTTGGCGAATATTGTTATCGAAATAGATAAGATATAATGCTGACAATATTAGTCATGGACTTTTCGTTCCGTCTGTTTCAATGGGTTTGTTTTGCTTAGTGTTAGCCAACCCACCTCAATGCATAGGAGAAAAACTTTTAAAATGTAGCAAATATCAAATTCTTTACTTCTTACAGATTTTTTTAAGATAAACATACATTTAGCGGTGTTAAAATGAAGTCAATGATAAATCAGAAATTTTACTGTTGTAGTAGAAAGATTGGAACATAGCCATACTATAAAATATTACAACTTATTGAAATAAAAATGGAATTAACTACTACTGAATTAGATTGTTGTAAGTTTCCTCAATCGAATTTATAGCTGTACTTTTTTTAATCAAATATTTTCACCACAAATGTAAACCTCGACATTACCATTAATTAATACTTTAAAAGTAATTTTAGTTCGGGGTTTTTCGGCTGATATTTTTATCATAATATTCTCTTCCTCATACACCATACAATTTTTGACATTGAGAAAATGCCCCCAAAAAATGTCGTTTGTGTCTAATTAGTTTTTTTTAAATGTGCATATCAAAAAGAAACTCATACAAAAACCAAGACTAAGATTAACTGTTCATATTTGGATGAAATAGTATTGTTTAGTCTACTGTCAAAGATCATAAAAATATTCATTTCCCTTATCTCACAGAAGAAGTGTAATTGTCTGATCTAAGTAATTAGAAGAAATCCGGCAAAGCTTTGTGATGAAGAACTGGTTTTTTTTCTATTATTATTAAAATACACTAGAACATCTGTATCGCTTCGAAAGATTTCAATTAAAAATACCTTTTACTATTAACATCTTAAGAATCATAATTTTACATTTAGTAGAGTATGAAATCCAAAAATTTGAAACTACTTGCAAAGAAATTTGTCAAACATTAGTAAAGTCAAAGAAAAATGAAAAGGTGAATATTGAGTAAGTCCTACACGTAAAGGAACGTTGTTCTTTGTTCACGAAGATTGCATACAACGACTGAATGATGAAGAGTGCAGAAAATAGTCAATTCGTATAGCATGGATTACAAAAAAAAAGAATGACAAAACTCAACACATTTGAACGATCAAAAGGACCTAATAACTTAAACTTCTTAAATGTCTACACGTATTCCGTCTAATTATATTTTACATGAGCAACAAGACGGAAACCTCTTTAACGTGATTTCATTCCTGGTTCTCGTTTGTTTCGTGTTAAATCCATAGTTTATTATGTTATGTTTTGAGGACCGTTATTGTCTTTCCGTCCATTTTCATTTGCAATGGTTATCTGTGATTCTTCGGCACACTGATTTTGAAAGTTGCTTTGATTTTCTTTTTCCGGGTTAAACATCACCACGCCAAGAATACATTATATTAAGTTAACGATGCATGGCACTGAACCTTGATTAAGATATCAATTCGCCGATTCATAATATAATGCATTTTTGGTAATAATTTCAAAAGCGTACACCAAAAGGCTGTGATTGGCTAACAACGTCCATAACCATTGATATTCGACCAATGGCGTGACGTTGTTTTCATTTTGGGGTACGAACAATTAAGTTACCCATAGTCCTTTAGATTCTGAAACAGCGAATTGCTTTTACTAATACTTTTTTTTTTAAACCCGATGATAATATTATTAATAGTATATCGATTTTCATTGTTCATCATGTGGGGGCGTACTTTAGCTTAAAAAAAACAACTTCAAAACCAAGTTTGATCATTCAACACTTTGACATACATGTATGAAGATAATTATATTTAGTTCGTACATTTTGCTTGTATTTTGTTTTTGAATATTAAACAATATAGTAATTGAAGCAAATAATAATGTTGTAGTGGTATTTGATTAATATTATATCTAAAATTCACATTTAAGCGTCTGTCAAATGACTTACCTTTGCCTGTCAGATATAATTCTGTAACAATTCTTATTTCTGTCATGTCAACCTGAAACCATACGTCAGTTCCCTGTGTTTTAGAACATGTTGTTTTATCTCCATCCGTAGCTAGATTTGCCGGTTTCGTACCAAGAGGATTCCGTGATACTAAAGCGTTTGTTGCTATGTTATCTATAATAGAGAAATTCTGATTGATAGAATAGTGCGTGAGTAAGAAGAAATTCCAAGCGATAGCCGTATTTAACCTGTTTGTGGTGGTCTGAAAAATCCACCAAATGAGACTGACAAAGAACTAACATAAGTCGTCTGTTTAATAAAAATAGCATGACCAAAATAAAAACATATAAAATAAAGCATTACAAAGTTCGTGTCTTGGATATACCATTGATTTCATTTGATAAATTGTAAGTCTTTCCAAAAGTTGTTACCAGATCAGGCATTTTTTCACACATGAAAATTGAACAAATACTTGCAGTTTCTTTAGACTGTGTGCGATTTACAGCCTTAAATATTTAGATAGTCCTGTCCAGTTTTAAAATATGTCTTTTGGTTTTTTTAGTCGTTTTGGTTTGCTGTCACATTAACCTTAAATACCTCACATCTCCCTTTATTCATACATATTCTCTTTTATAGAAAGAGTACTTGAAAACTCAATGTCAAAGACGCAAATTTCCCGCTTCCTGTATGCTGGCCTGCGATCAACTCATTCGAACGAAACTCAAATAATGTTATTAAACTGAAATAAATGTTTAGCTTTTAAGGTTCACGAAAATCTATAAGTGATCTCTTGGTAGTGTGCTGGTCTCAAATGTAGTAATATATAGATACACGTGAAAATGACTTCCGCAATGGAATCTGTTATTTATTGAATTATAGACCAACTAATCCAATAATTCAAATAGTATAAGAATTAAGAATAGAAAACTATTAGCGGTTTTTGTTTTACTTGGAAGTCACGGTATTTCATTTCCACCAATAATAAATACATAATAATGCAGCATTAAGATTGATGAAAAGTTCTGCTAAAACAGGAAGCAATTGTAAGCATGGTTTGAATTTCGGGAATGCTTCTGCAGACTGACTGGATCGGGAGCAGTAACTTGCAATAAGTTCTTTCTTCTATGGCACAGTTCAGCTTAATGTTTCTGTGAATTTAGTTTCAAGACATTTCAATATATTCAGTAACTTAAGAACAAAGTATCATGTTATGTCGAAGTGTATTTGAAAAATTATTTACACTTGTTGCAGTAAATTCCAGTTCGACTTTCCTTACAACCATTTGTACAAACTGCGGTGTTCCTATCGCAAATATCATTCAAACAGTTTTTAGTGTTACATCCCCAGATACACGAACCATTTCCAGGATAGCAATGTTGGTCTATACATGTTTCTGTACAAGAATTAATGCAGTTACTTCCCCAATAATTCTTCTTACAACCTAAAAATGTTAAAAAATATATAATACTGAAAATATTGAATGATTAAACGTAAATGATGAGAGTTCATTTGACGTTGGTTGTTGTGAATGTTTTAATTAACGGCCTTCTTGTAAAAATATAGTGCTTTAGGGGAAAATTTTTTTAAATATGCCCTTTATCTAAAACAATGGACGTTGAACAATAAAGCAAACCAATCAACTTTAGTTTATCAGTAACATTTTTTTCATCATTTTTTTTTTACTTTTAGTTTGACATAGAAATCATTTCTATAATATCATTATTTTGGTGAAAACTTCTATACACAGAAACAAATAACTTACCATTAATGGAAACATAACATAGTTCAATAATACTTCCTTTGTCCCCTGGTCCCTGTACGTCATCATAATAAATGACATATTGTCCAAGTTGATTGCATGAAATAGTTTGAGTGATATTTGGATAAGGATAACCTGGAGGATCTTGGTGGCAGAGGTCAGAGGCAGAAGGATGAGTGTTAGATGTATTAGATATATACAATTTAAATCCATCCATCCGTCTTGCAACTGGAATAATATATACAAGTTCTCTACATAAATGTATGTACATGTTTTATATAAGACACCAGATCAGGATCATAACAAGGTTAAGTTCTACCATAAAATGTACTTGTTATAATCGACATTTATGTTATGTACGTAAGTATGAAATTTAACAGATAGACATTTGCTAGAATATTCTTCACAACATTCACTTGTTTGTCTTTTGAATATTTGAAAAGGGGTATTTATTGAAATATCATAAACGTTAGGATCTCCTTATTTATTTTTCTTGCTGGATAATTCAGTTCATGTATTTTTAAATTATTTTATTCTGATAAGTTAGTTATCTACTAAGATAAGGATAATTGAGGATAATTGAAACCTTTTCCAAAACTTTTTTTATTTTACCAATTATGGTAAAATTTCATAAATTTAAGCCAATTTTCAAGCTTGGCGTGACAATTAATAAAGCTAACAATATGTAGGATTGTTATTTCATACACTTTCCAATTTGATCTCGTGTAGTGATTGATAGACTGGTTGGTGTTTAACGCCACTTTCAACACTATTGTGCTATTTCATGGCGGTCAGTTTTTATTGGTGGAGGAAGCTGGAGTGCCCGGAGAGAAGCACCAACCTTCGTTAGGAAAACTGACAATCCTAGTCAATTAAGATTGGAGTTGAGCGCACCTGTCACGTGTAGGATTCGAACTCACAACATCAGTGTTGACAGGCTAATTCTAGTTTGACTTCTTTTTTTCTCTCTTGATAACTACTTAGACCACTCGGCCACCAAGACCCCTTCCCGTCTAGTGAGAATTGAACTACAGGTTAAAATAATTTCAACATAATAACGTTTTCAGTACTGAAAAAGGCAGGGTGTGTCGTATGTCTTTTGTATGTCTGTATAATATTAGGGATGATAATTTTGATAGAATTCAGAACGTAGTTTTCAAAAGGGCGATACTTTGCAGGCAGTCATTGATGACTATTGTCAGTTTGACTTCTGTATAAATGCCCAAAATTTTCTTCAAAATCCATTTCTTCAAACAAACACCTTTTTCTTGATGTGTGTTAATATATGAACTCTGACTATTCATTTCATAATTTTTGGTCTGTAATTAAAGAAGTACACACAGTTATTCGTCAAAAAAGTGTTTGTACAAAAATTTACTAAAATTCATAATTAATAAGTCAGAGATTTCGTAACCACAAATTACTTAAAACTTTTACTAAATTCTTCCATAGACACAAAGATTTATTTGGCTGTACCTGTAGCAAACTTATTTCATAAGGAATAGAAAATCCTAATTTTTAAGGTGATGTTGTTTACTTAGCCCGAAAAATTAGATACGATCCGGGTAAACTTGTCAATTCTTTAAATAAACTGATTCTAAAACTGAGGTTACCATTTCAACACTGTAATTAGAACTTTAAATATTGTTCGAATTGGTATAATTTAAAATATTGATTTTGTTATCAGTAAATTAAAACCATACTAAATATTATTGTTATACACATATGCACATTCACAGTACTACAATCTGTCGATACCTATATTTTAGCATTGCACAAGGTCATGTTTTCCTCTGACTGTTAATGACGTCTTTACACTAAATCCATTGGGTGTTGGGTGTGTACTGATTAATATTTTAGTCTTAGATACATGATTTTTATTAGTTGTTATTGGTTTTGAACTAGCTGTCAGTAACTGCGAGTACTCTCAGATCTGTACTTTATGTCTTTTATTTTTGTTTTTAGGGATGTATAAATACACTGCCACGTCCGGTCTTTGTTTTTGTTAGATGTGTTTCTGCTTTATATCGAAATGATGATTGAAGACCTTTTCAACTGATTTTTATAGTTTGTTCTTATGGTGTACTGTTACACCACTGTCCAAGGTTTGTTTTGTTAGATGTGTTTCTGCTTTATATCGAAATGATGATTGAAGACCTTTTCAACTGATTTTATAGTTTGTTCTTATGGTGTACTGTTACACCACTGTCCAAGGTTTGTCCTTCAAACATGTTTGGGTCCTCAATGCTCTTCATCTTTGTACTTGTTTTGGATTTCTAACTATTTTGATCTGAGCGTCACTGATAAGTCTTATGTAGACGAAACGCGCGTCTGGCGTATCAAATTATAAGCCTGGTACCTTTGATAACTATTCAAACCCGCCACATTCTATATGTGTCTTTCCCAAGTCAGGAGCCTGTAGTTCAGTGGTTGTCGTTCGTCCATCTCAGTTTTCGTAATTTGTTTTGTTATTCATTAGGCCGTTAGTTTTCTCAGTTGAATTGTTTTATATTTTTCATGTCTGGGCTTTTTATAGCCGACCATACTTTTTGAGGTTTTTCATTGTTGTAGGCCGTTCGGTTGCCCATAATTGCTTAAACCACTTCATTTAAACTATGCTGAATAGTTGTCTCATTGGCAATCATACCACATCTCCTTATTTGTATATTATAGAACTTTAGCCACACCATAAACATATGAGTAAAAGTAGTTCAATGTATACGTACATCTTTCTCTATAGTATATAGTTATATCTGTGATGAATACAGTTCCATACGAAATATTGAACATCCACCAAGCTGGACTTAGATTATCCGATGTGTGTGTACATTTTGTAAAACCCCATTCATTTGATATAGGTGGGTTAATTGCATTTTGTGGTACAGCACTACCATATTGGGAACTTTGTGTAGCACTTCCAAATCGTGCAAGGTTCTCTAAAACAAAAATCAATGGTTAATTAAGTCCAAAAATATTTCCTAGAATCGTTTTAAATGTTTTGATTATAATAATGAAAATAACTCAGATACTGCTGTGAGGGATCTATTACTATATTAATTTTCTGTAGTGTTGACCTTTGTAGTTACTGACAAGAGAAGCAGTTCGTGATACGTGATAAATCTAACAATACATAACATACATGCTGTCTAAAGTCAGGAACCTCGTCAGTAGTTGTCGTGTGTCATATCTTAATGTTTTCGTAATTTGGAGTGTTGGATGTTGCAAGATTGCAGATTTTTATTGTTTCTTTTAAATTTGTTTACAACTGTTATTGAATAGGAACGTTTTAGTTGACATATTATTTAGACTTCTGTTTATTATTGAAGACTTCATGTTGCTCTCTAGGTGTATTAAATGGTTTTAGTCGTAAAGCCGTCTCTTTGACGTATACCACACAACTCCTTTTATTCATATGCATACATTCACATATACATGTATAAATAGTGAAGCCCATGAGGAACATGTCAGTAACTGCTAGCACTCTCAGATCTGTACTAAGTGTCTTTCTGTTGTGTGGATGTATAAGTACCCGGCCATGTCCACTCTGTGTTTTTGTTAGATGTAGTATTTCTATTTGTATCTATCTGATAAGTTAAGCCTTTTCAACTGATTTTATAGTTTGGTCTTATGTTGTACTGTTACACCACTGTCCCAGGTTAGGGGAGGGTTGGCGCCTTCAAACAAGTTTAACCCCACCACATTCTATATGTGCCTGTCCAATGTCTGGAGCCTGTAATTGAGTGGTTTTTGTTAACTTTGTTACACTTTATCATATTTGTTTTTTCCGTTAATTGTTTTGAATGGTGTGTTCTTATTTTGTGCTGTTACGCCGGTGGCCCAGGTTAGGGGAGGGTTTGGTACCATCTAGTTCAACCCCGCCACATTCTGTATATGCCAGTCCCAAGTCAGAAGCCTGTAGTTCAGTGATTGTCGTTTGTTGGTTTGTAACATATTTGTTTTTCGTTCATTATTTTGTACAGAAATTAGGCCGTTAGTTTTCTCGTTTGAATTGTTTTACATTTGTCATTTCGGGGCCGTTTATAGCTGACTATGCGGTATGGGCTTTGTTCATTGTTGAAGGCTTTACTGTGACCTATAGTTGTTAACTTTTGTGTCATTTGGTCTCTTGTGGAGAGTTGTCTCATTTACAATCATACCACATCTTCGTATTTTTATATTGCGTGTAGTTAACACCATATCGCTTAATTTATTAATAAAATTGTAGTATAGTCAGTAGTAGATAAAAGTGAGTTTTACACAATTAAACACCTTGTCAATTATCAAGTATATAAACGGCGCAGTTCCAATTCAAAAATACAGACTCAATACTCATTCACGTTCCCCTATTCCAGTTATTTTTTGCTATGAATCACAGCAAATCCCTAAATTTCTCCTATGTACCAAACATGTTTCTCTCGATGCTAAAAAGCCTTTGAAACAACTCTGTGATGATACTGTTGATAGGCAAAACTTCTTCCTATACCTACCATATATACCGTCTTTTTCTAGAGGTAATCTAAATTCCTGGATAATCATGAAATATTTGTCACTGGACGTATATAAAAAAAAACAATCAAGCAATCTTTAAGTTGGTCATATGTTGCAAACCAGAAATTAAAACTGTGAAATCAAAAGAATACAACGACACTTCATACATGACAGACCTGTGAAATTTCCAAATTTCTCTTTAACTTTGTTTTGTCTCTACAAATAAGGAGATGATAAGATTGCCAATAAGACAAATTTACATCAAAACCCAAATAACAAGGATGTATGCAAGTATATGTCACCGTATGTGCGAAAGCCATACCGTATAGTAAGCGAGATTAAACAAATTTGCGAGCGCTCAACCTATCCCCTACTTGGGACAGTGGTGTAACATCACAATATAAGAACAAACTGTAAAAATCCTTTGGAAAGGGTTGACTCATAAGATGGTCTAGAAGTATAAAGTCAACAAACAACAAGACAAACAGACAAGAACACAAAGTACCGATCTAACTTAGTCGTTCTTAATGTTACAAACGAGGTTCTGATGTACAACTTTACACTACAATAATTACATTGCATGTATGTTTCATTATAATACGTTATTTTGATTGGCTATATGTAACAACAATCTCGCGTCATTCTGAAATTAGCCTTCATTTAAAAATGAAATGTAAAATTCATGATAACACGAGCTTCCACAATAAAGTGCACAGGTAAATAAAAGAAAAACTTGATAGAAATCGTGTTTTAATGATCCTAGCAAAAAAATGTAACTATTAGTATTGAATGCTTCTTTTAGTAATTTCATAGGGTTGTAAAAGCGTTGACCGTGCGCACATTTTTAGAATGAAGCGCTTCCGCACTTCATACAAAATTTACTTCGGTCAACGCTTTTACACCCAATAAATGTACAAAAAGAAGCATTCAATTCTTAAATATTAGTATAGTAATATAGGTCATTATATTGAATTCTTAAGAAAACAAGCATTTCACTTTTACTTCACATAAAAACAAACAATAGACGGACTCATTTACAAAGTTTAGATCTTAACTATGTAAGTTGATGTAGGTTGATTTTGTGTATGAAAGACCGAGTTAATGCATCATTAAACTCGGTAAAGATGACCTTTTCTCACTTATGATTTTAATCAAATGTACTAAATATTATAATTCCATTCTGTTAAAGAACCTCCATGTCGGTATTACATCATATTACCACCACGTTGTTGGCTGCTTTGTCGGTCGGTACGGACACCAACGCTTTGCGAGTACTTGAATTTGTTTATTAATCCTAGAAAACTCATTTGTCAATGTCATGCATCCAACAAGAGGATGAGATTGTGGCTAAAAACAAATATAATTATGATACCAATCATTTAATGTGATATTGCGGAATAGTAAAAAAGACACCGATCCGCAAAACCTTTCAATGGGTAAGTTCAACAATAACCATTAAAAAAGTTATTGGTGGAAACGCTTTTTCGTAAGCAAAAACCATCAATCAACAAAATCATAGATGAATAGGCAAGTACTTGAATCTGGGAGATAGATACCTTACAGGTCGGTGCTGCTGGCATGTCCTCTAACAAGCTTTTCATTGGCAAAATTTATTACATATTTCTATACTATTATATATAAAATCATCCTTTTAGCATAGAGTTTTCCCATGTAAATGAAAGTAATATGCATAAGAACTGGAAAAAAGTGTGCCATTTAAGTAATTATAAATAACACAAACCCAACATCCCCTTTCATTCATAATCATTTGTTTTCGTTCTAAAAATACATGAAATATTTGTCACTGGACATACTAAATCAAACACCAATCAATCAATCTTTAAGTTAACTGCTATTCAATTCGCATCTAACAAACATAAAAATGAATTAAAAACCAATAATCCAAAGAACACAACAATACTCTGTAATTGATACATTATAGATCAATATGATATAGTACGTTAGGTAGAAATGAAATAGGAGAAGCGGACTGAATTAATGTATATCAGTATGTACGAAAATTCATACCGAAGTCTCATAAAATCTTTAGAACGTATGTAAAAGAACATGTTTAACCCCGCCGCAATTTAGTACCTGTCCCAAGTCAGGAGCTTCTTGCCTTTGTTAGTCTTGTATGTTTTTTAAATTTTGGTTCACTTGGTTTCGGAGTTTAGTGTGACGTCCTTTTTCGCTTAACTAGTACAAATTTTTGTTTAGGGGCCAGCTGAAGCCATTCTCCAGGTGCGGGATTTGAAGACCAATTGGTGGCCTTTGGCTGTTTTCTGCTATTTGGTCGGGTTATTGTCTCTTTGACAAATTCCCCGTTTCCATTCTCAATTTTATTTTAACGAGCAGGTCTTTTCTTAAACTTTTTTCATTCATCGATTCGTTACGCTTGTGTGAAATAATGGCAAAAAAATCAGTGTATATAATTTGCAATATAAAAAGAAAACTTACTTTGTGCTGAAACAGTCAACACAACAGCCACGTGTAAAAGTAACACACATACCATAGTATCAAATCTAATGAAGCACGTGCAACCAGAACTTGCTATCTGCTAAAAAAAATATGTTAATAACAAAACTATACAAAAATGATTTGAAAGGTATGATTTGTTTACTAGTTCGGGATTAATATGTACAAAAAGTAAAAAATATTGTGCTTATAATATAAGATGTCATATAAAAAGGAGTCTTTTTAACTTATTAATTGAGTGATAATATACAATCGTTCGATATACTAGTACTCGACAATTCCATACATTATTTCAATGATGTATTTATATAAAAATAAGGAGATGTGGTATGATTGCCAATGAGACAACTATCCACCAATGTTCAAATGAAGTGGATGTAAGCAATTATAGGCAACCGCACGGCCTTCAACAATGAGAAAGCCTCATACCGTATAGTCGGCTGTAAAAGGCCCCGACATGAAAAATATGAAATAATTCAAGTGAAGAACTAACGCCCTAATTTATAACAAAATACTTTATGAAAAACAAATATGACGGACAACGAACCAACGACAACCACTTAACTACAGGCTCCTGACTTGGGACAGACACATACAGAATGTGGCGGGGTTAAACAGGAGCGGATTCAACAATTTTAAAAAGGGTGGCTCCAACCATATGTCCCCATTCAAAAGCATTGATCTTCAAAAAAAGGAGGATCCAACCCCCGGAACCCCCCTCTAGATCCGCCACTGTTAATTAACATAGTTGGTCTGTATGTAAATGTTCCGAGACCATAACCGGCGTCTGTGGTATTAACTTGTATCATTTAAATGATATATGTCATTTTATAACCTCAAAAACCTATCCAGAAAATAATAACAATAGCTAAAGACGACCCATAGTAAATGAAATACAACAGTATGAGGTTCTGTTATACAGTGTAATATGGAAGAAATCTGAACGTCTGAAAATAAACGCTTTATTTTCCAAATATTAAAATTTGGAACAATTTTTTTTTTCATTTGGAAAAATGACGGAGTCTTAGTTTGACCTAATCAAAGATGTATACTTACTTATTTACCTTGCATCAAGACTAGATACTTTATTATCGAATAATGATAAAAGTCACACAAGGAAGTATTTTTACGTAACTATACCAAGAAGTAAGTACTTAATCATTTGAGTCACTTTTTGACGGACATCTATATATTTACCGACAAACAACTAGATATTTTTGATAAATTTGAAGGGAAGCTGGAAGATTTTTATCTATTAAATTTTGAGAAACACTTTAAAGGTTTCATAAACTTAGTAAACTCTTCTATCGTTATCATGTGGGAAGATTTATATGTAACCTTAATCTTATTTTCAATTCAACACTTTAAAAGTATTTATTTTTTTTGAATTAGTGAGGTTATGCCTTCCAATATCATGACGAGTATGTGTATATTTCGTTAGAAGATTAATTCTCAAACACTTTTTTTTCATAAAATCGATCTCTCGATGAGCCAAATTTAAATATCTCAGATAACTATTCAAATTAGTAATATACTCCCGGACTTTAAAAATGCAACACACATTTTTGTGATTTTTTTTGTTTTTGTTTACCAAATCATGATAAATTTTCATATAATTGCTTTTCATGCTTTGAAAAATTCAAGACCTAACTTACCTGAGGTAATTGAACATACCGGATTATTTACGTAGCACCAATTTCTAAAAGCGATATTGTTAACCAATGCATATTTTTTTAAAGTTTTTTTTCTTCGAGAAACGTTTCTTTGAATCAATACCCACTACTTTAATTAGGAAATAAATGTTGCATTTCCATATTGCCTAGACTGAGCAATACAAATCTGAAGCAGGCCATAATAAATTTGCAGGCATGAATACGTCAACGTGTTGTTGCTAGACAATATCATGTCAGAATCCCCTCTAACAGTCCTAACAACAACGGTACAGACGTACGGGATTTGTAAATGACCACCCATGACCAGATCAACCTGTAGTGACAACCCCACGTCAGTAACATGTCATTACGCAACGAGAGAGACAGGTTTACGACTTTAACATCAACTGCTTAAGTTTTCGGATGTCCTGGCAGAAAGATTCACCCAATAATTGTATCCAGTATACTGAAATGCCATAGAATCGACTGCTGAAAAACATTTTAAGGCTTACAGTTTAAACCACAAAATTGCCAAAACAGACTGCAATGTGTAAGACAGATGCCGCAAATCCGATGGAACAAAACAAAACTCAAATCATGCAGAAAAGAAATGGTTGACTTTTCTGTCAATCATTTAAGAGTTAGTTGCAAGCAGTCTTCGACGGTGACGGTGACACATCCATTGATAAGGAGAAAACCAGGTTTTCAGTGCATACAAAGGTACCACATGATGTAAACATACAACGTGACGTATTCAATTCAACACTCGAACTACAAACTTTATTTAGACAATGAAGTAATGAATGAATTGTATACATATATATAAATAAGAAGATGTGGTGTATATATTTATTTTACAAGTATTGCATGTTTGAAAATAAAAATTAAAACGTATAATCTAGTGATGCGTTTTTTAAATTCGTCACAGTATACTATAACAACATGGTTTTAAACGGTACTTTTAATCCATCTTAATTCGATTTCAAAAACCAATGAAAACTTTATGTATTTATAAAGGAAGGTATTTTAGTATCAGAAGACAATCGAAATAGGTCGATTTTTATATGGAGAAATGTATTATACGGAAGCGTTTTAGCGCCACACTATTTTTTTTTTTTTATTTTTTCTTCCTATCTTTGCATTATAACGCAAACCTTTGCGAAATAACGCAACCTTTTGATTTCAATTATTCATTAAGTTTTGTATACGTGTCCTTCTGTCATTAAATTCCGGTTGTGATTTAGTTAAGAGAAGAACCATAAATACAAGGCCAAATAATTACTAATAAATATGCATAGGAATAAGGGAATTCTTGAAGTGCAATAATACACAAGTTAAGAATGTTCTTTGTGTCAGAAAATTACATAATTTAACAAGAAAATAGATATGGTAAAGGCATATTTTAGTTGAAAGGCCAACATTTTGAAAATTTTGATTAAGTAGATAAGAGCAAAAATAATACAACAGTGAAACTATTAAGTCAAATAGACAAATCGATTTTTTTCTGCTTTAAAAAGAATTATTCAGAAAAAAACATTTTTTTTAAAATTTTGATGTAAGAAATCGTTTTAAAATCAGAATATGATAGATTCTTTGATAAAAAGTCATGGAATTTTCATTTCATTCTAGTGAGGCAACTTTAAGATGCTTGGATAGCAATTTGAATGAAGAAAACATAATTATAATAATAAAACATCTTCATTTTATACATTTATTGCAAAAGGTAGCTTGTTTGGATCCAACCAACCTTACACAATGCTCAAAAGAGAGCTTACTTTGGAAGTATATTGAATTTCATAGCTTTATTAGCAGGGCTGATTTTTTATTTCCTTCGGTACAACTTCAATTTCTCAATTTTCTTTGTAGTATATATACATGCATTATCCTGCTCATTATTTATCAATGATATGTTCTAAATATTCAAGCATTTTACTTTGCAATGAGTACAAAGGTTGATAAATTTTAATATATGCAGCCTCCTCAATTAATAACAGCTGCTTCCTTTGAAACTTAAATAAAGAAATAAGATTAAACAAATGTTTGCGTTATAACGCAAAAGGTTTGCGTTATATAACGCAAAGGTTAGCGTTATTTCGCAAATGTTTGCGTTTTAACGCAAAAGGTTTGCGTTATAACGCAAACATAGGAAACAAATTAATAAAAAAAATTGTGTGGCGCTAATACGCTTCCGTTGTATTAGACGATACATACATATATTTTTTTTTTTCATATCAAGAAAGAACAAAAGGCTGTATTAGGTCGTGGGTTTGATCCCCGGGCGATCAAACAAGCGAGCGGGATTTAGGGGTAAAAGCAAAAACTGGTCAGCTCGGAGTCAGACTTATGTGTCCAGTTAGGGTGATAATTGCGGCTATATATAATTTACTTGTTAATAAGCACGTTTAAAATCCGACTCAGAGTTTCAATCTAGATCAAAGCAAGGTTCACGTTCATATCAAATTAAAACGTTCTCGCATTGAATATTCATTTGATTTGCCGCTGGGCGTTGAGCAATCATCATCATCAACAGCAGCAGCATCAGAAGCAGCATCATCATCATCATCATCATCATCATCATCATCTTCATCTTCATCAGCATCAGCATGTCGTTGAACATAAGCTGCTCAATATCCAGTCAGTACCTTCATATCTTTGTATTAAAACCTGAATTAGCAAATAGGCCAATTTGTATTGCTTATTTCGAAAACTAGTATTTCTTAATAAAGGGATTATCTTTATCTGTTGAAAAATAACGAAACTTTTAAAATTTCGTGTACATTTCGTTAAGTTTTAATTAACAAACAATAACGAGCATTTATCGAGAGTCGACTTACCTTGTATTAAGAATTAATTAATTTTTTACTGTTTTCCAATAATCTTAATTTAAATCGGACAGTCAACCATATTGTTGTATAATGACACTGCATTACGGGAAGGGGTGTTTATCTGCAATTTGAAAGTAATTACCACTCAATTCTCAGTATTTTGCAAAACTCAATAAAATATAACCGATATGGCATTTCAATGCGTGTCATTGTCAGAGGGACGTCGTTCGAAGTGAACAATACGTTTGTTGACTATTATTTTCATTGGTCGTGCTGATAGATTACTGTAACACATATTTCGTCAAGATGCTTTCCAAAGTAATTTTAACAGTAAATGTAATGAATTTAGAAAAGAAAAACGACAATTGAGCATATATGGTACATGCAGTTGTGTGGCTTTTTCAAAAAGGAAATTTCAGCTCCGAAGTTTTCTCTTCCGTATTCTTTTCATAAGAAACTCACGATATTTGAATAATATGGATTCAATTACCATTAACATACATTTATATAGATTAGACCGTTGGTTTTCCCGTTTGAATGGTTTTACACTAGTAATTTTTTTGGGGCCCTTTATAGCTTACTGTTCGGTGTGAGCCAAGGCTCCGTGTTGAAGACCGTACTGTGACCTATAATGGTTTACTTTTATAAATTTTTACTTGGATGGAGAGTTGTCTCATTGGCACTCATACCACATCTTCTTATATCTATGTAGCTGTACTACAACATCATTTCGAGATTTGTTTTTAGAATTTAAACGCTTATGTAATATTTGTTGCTGGACATCGTACAGACCACAATAAAATAAACAAATCTAATTAACGATTTTGTATTTTGACACCAGCACTTGCAATGCAACACGTTTGTTTGTGAAGTACACATATGATAATGACAATGATGATGAATGGCTGTTTAAAGTCCAGTGGCAAATTAGATGCATATTCAGGACTAGAACATGTTAATGCGATATGAATGTATTAACATTGATTTGTAACGCGCTACTACCAAAGTTAACAGTGCGCAGGAAGACATGTCAACCTAGTCTGTCGCATTATTCTGATTTAAAGTCGACCAGCTTTCACTATTTCTCCTTAATGCAGCGTACATGTACTTAGCAGAGAAGTAGCAAATACCATGTTTTAAGTCTTTGGTTTGATCCGGACAGGGATCGAGTCCACAACCTCCAGCAAACGATGCAAGCACGCTACCACAAGATCACCAAGATGGTTAGTTACACATAATCTGATCAAGATCAGATTTAAGAACTTTGAAAAAAATCCTTTTAAATGAATAAAGGTAGATTGGTCCTGTCACTTCAACTATTGAATGTCTAGGATTAATTTGAATACAGCATGTGTATTCAAATTTAATATCAATAAATGTGTGCAAAACTTGAATGTTAAAAATTACAACGAATGTCTGTAATACAAAACATAATATATAACTGAATATCAAGCTGTCCAAGAAAGTGCATGTGATTATAACTTGGATGGAGAGTTGTCTCATTGGCACTCATACCACATCTTCCTATATCTATGATTTACTTTTTCAAAACTTTGACAAACATCGATTTTCAGAAACCACAAATAAAAACAACACAAGTTCCCACTTTAAAGGAATATAAAAGAGGCAAATCAAAACAAATAAATGCATGAGATAAATACAATTTATAAAAATAAAAATATTAAAATATTTTGTGTTACTCTTATTAGAACTTAAAATTTAGAATTGAAACGGGAGTGTTTCAAAGAGACAACACCCAACCAAAGAGCAGAAAACAGCCCAAGGCCACCAATGGGTCTTCAAGACAGCGAGAAAATCCCGCACCCGGAGACGGGCTTCAGCTGGCCCTAAACAAAAATGTGTACTAGTTCAGCGAAAATGGACGTCACACTAAACTCCAAAACATATAAATGAACCAAAATTAAAAAAAACATACAAGATTTACAAAGGCCAGAGACTTCTTACTTGGGACAGGCGAAAAAAGGCGGCGGGGTTAGACATGTTTTGTGAGATCCCAACCCTCCCCCTATACCTCTAGCCAATGTAGAATAAATAAACACACATCAATACGCACAGTAAAACTCAGTTAAAAGAAGTCCGAAGTATACATGTAAATGTTTAAATAAGACTTCTTGATAATAGAAAAGGGGATATAAGTTAGCAGTTACTGAGTCTTTTGCATGGGTAAATATTATTTTCAGTAGCTAATTTACTCCTAAGTATAATATTAATCATGCAAGTACATTTGTATCTTTCGCTCATTATTAAATAGTATTTTGACATTGGTACTATATTTTTGAAGAACACATCCACTTATCTAAGTTTAACGGGTGCTCAAACTTGTCATTGGCACTGGGAGCTAAGACCACTCATACTATTGTTAGGTTACCTTCGTAACAATATTGCCTCGTCTCCTTTCCTTTTTAAACAGGCTAACGGTAGCTGCTTAAATAAGCAATAGTCTGAATAGTAAGAAGTTATGTGTAAATCTTATATATAAAAATAAGAAGATGTGGTATAATTGCCAATGAGACAACTCTCCATAAGAGACCAAGTGACACAGAAATTAACAACTATAGGTCACCGTTCGACCTTCAACAATGAGTAAAATACATACCGTATAGTCAGCTATAAAAGGCTCCGAAATGACGAATGTAAAACAATTCAAACGAGAAAACGTACGTCCTGATTTATGTACAAAATAATGAACGAAAAACAAATATGATATACAGCAACAAACGACAACCACTGAATTACAGGCTCGTGACTTGGGCCAGGCACATAAAGAATGTGGCAGGTTAAACTAGTTTGAACGCGCCAACCCTCCCCCTAACCTGGGACAGTGTTGTAACAGTACAACATAAGAACAAACAATAATTAAAAACCAATTGTTCAGAGAACAGTTGAAGGTCTTTCCACCAGTAAGGATCTATTTTGATATGAAAATATTAAAATTTTGTTTTAAATGTCAATTTCCGCGTCAAATGACAGCTTATTGTACGCTGATTTCAAAAATATATGGTTTCTATACAAAAAGATATAAATAAAGGAGATATTTTTTTACTTCCGGTAATGTTTGATAGTTTACTTGACACTGATTCCAAAAATATATGGTTCTATATACTTTTACATTAATTTAGTACAAAAAATAGCTACTTCCGGTTTACAAAAGGTCACTTCCGGTTGACTTTTTCAATGTCACATTGCTTGCAACCTAATGCAAAAAGTCCCTTGGCTTTATCATGTATACATATGAGGTAAAACCAAAGGTCAAAATCTAGAACGTTAAATTTACCTATGACCTTGAGCTCAATTTCAAGGTCATAAACCAAGGACCTCGAATCAAAAGACTGTAGGCCTCTACTTTATATTGTTAATGAGTTATATTACCATACGACTAATATTAGATATAAAAGGGGGGAAAACTCGCATCAAATATCGACGTACCCTTTCAACTAAAATTTACGTGTTACGACATGTCGCAACTAACAATTGTGTGAAAATATTTTGTCGATATCTTATATGATTTCTAAAAATAAGAGATAACAAGCCAAAATCAAATTTTGAAATATGACCTTGACCTTTGACCTTGACCTCATTTTCATTTTTTTTTACCAAGGACCTCATATCAAAAGACCCTAGGCCTCTATCACTTATGGTTTTCCAGTTAAAAATACATTTCACTTATATCAAATACAAAAGGGGAAATAACTCTCATATGGAATCTCTATACGGCTTCAGTCAAAATAAAACAGACCATCCTGAGGATATAACGAGCAATTTGGAAAAATAAATTTGTCGGTTTCTTATATGGTTGCGAAGCCTTAGAAATAAGAAGAAAAACAGTGATCGGGGAGATAACTCTTAAATGGGAAAGTATTCGGTTAAGCAGTGTCAGTTTCAAAAGCGTATAAACTGTTCGATATCATATTCCAAATATCTAAGCGACATCTTGCGAAACAAAAAAACAGCGAAGGAAAAAATTAGGCGGAAAAAAAAAAAAAAAAATAATAATAATCAGAAGAAAACCAATAGGTATTTCCACGGAAAAGTGGAAAGACCTAAAAATCAGTTGAAAAAGGCTTAACTCATCAGATGGATACAAAGCAGAAATACATCTAATAAAAACACAGAATGGACGTGGCAGGGTACTTATACATCCCCACAACAAAAAAACACTAAGTACAGATCTGAGAGTACTCGCAGCTAGTTCAAAGCCAATAACAACTAATAAAAAAAAATCATGCATTCAAGTCTGCACCTTACTTTCGCTAATTTATACCTCCTACTCGTGATCACAAAGAGAGTGGTTTACTACATCTAACTTGTCCATCTGTCCATCCACCCGTCCATAATTTTGGTGACATTTAATTTGTTTAGTTGTGTTAGAGAATGATTTAATATTGGTTCTGATTTTTATAATGTAACATTGAACTGTGTAAGCGATTTTATGACCAGTAAGAGAATGATCATAATCTGTTTGTCGTTACTTTAGTGTTTTATTCTACCAACTGATCATGGATTATGTTCGTTACATTTTACCAGAGACATATAATACAATTATCATTTTATATAAATATTGTATTATATGTCTCTGATTTTACTTTGCTTTTAACTCAAGGAACGAGTTGAATTTGTTCTGAAACTTTATACTGCTGAGGTTTTTTTTCTTCAGATTTTCTACCGGAGAGTCACTTCCTGTTAAGCGAAACATTTGTTTTATCTATTTGGCATCAATTTTTACGCCGATTTCTGATAAGCACAAGACGCAAAGAGGAGATTAAATATTCATCTTATGTATCCTTTTAAAAGTTATATTATAGAATAGTTAATAACAAAGAGGGCATAATAGGTGTCAGACCACCGATTCAAAATCCCTGTCTATTCAGACAAATTTTGCAATTTTCACAGCTTTCTAAATATTTTACCTTAAGTTTAACTTCATAGAAACTATGTATATCCTGAAATGTACATGTATCAACTTTCTACATGCCAATTTTCTACCTATCTTTAAAGTCTTCTAGCAAAATACTAACGTGCGAAAGACAAGTACTGCTAAAAATAACCCTTGGTTTTCTGGAAATCTTAAATAACTATACTATGGAGCGCATTAATCCTCAATTTTTAATACAAACTCATGGACATGTAAATTTTGACTCAAAATGGTCTAAATATATTTCTCTTTCAACAAAAGTTTCATTTCTGCAAATTTGTTGGTTAGTTTAAGTATACAATGGCATCAAAAGGACTATTTTTTGTCAGGGAAGGGCTACTTTTACATAAGTTCAAAATTGGAGTGGGTGAATTGGTGGTCTGACACCTAAAGTGCAATACAGACTGCACTTGACATTGAAAATGGCTGACCCGTTTTTATGAAGACCAAACTTAGTAAGTGAATGTTCACCTTAGAAAGCTCGTATATAAATAAAACTAACAAATGTGATATATCATTCATTTATGTACAATTGTAAACTGACAATTTTGAATTTGGTATCTTATAATATATTTTAATACAGTTGTGAAATTCGCTATATCTTTTGTTTTTTCTTATAACGGCGTTAGTTAAAAGGCCAACAGCTAATTTGTCGCGATATTATTTCAGTCGGTGAATAAACACTTTTAGATAGTTGTTTTTTTATTATTATTAAATAGCCTGAATGAATACTATTTTGAAATTCTTAATTGTTCCAGGATATGAAAAAGCAAATGAAATGCATATTTAAATTACAAGCACAAATGTCCAACACAAATTAAACTATCGAAATGTAGATTTAATTTCTCCTAAATTTGTTTCACTTATAGAGACACAATAAGAAAGTTGATAAAACCTTACAGAATATAAATATTAAAGAGTCTGTATAAAATCATTAAAACATTTCGAAATGGTTATACATTATAAGTTATATGGTTTGTTACTGACCACTACGGATCCATTGAGGGTTAGTAGAATCCCCTTTGGATTTTACGAACCCTCTATTGATCCGTAGGGGTCAGTAGTGAACCGTATAACGAATTTATCGCACACGGGACTTTTCCTTTTTACACACTGCTGTTGAAGACGATAACTACTGATTTTATGTTTTTGCAAAATTTTGCATCAAAGTACATTAATAGACAATATACATTTATAAGT